GAAGCCGTGGCGAGCAGCCCCCAAGGGGGGGAGCCCCGCCGTCCAAGTACCCCGAAACCCCGGGGTCCCCCCACCCCCCGTGCCCGGGGGCCTCGCGCAGTACATGGGCCCCACGGAGCCCCGGGCTCCGAGGGGCCCCCGGGCGGGGCCGGGGGCGACGAGGACGGCGACCCTTAAACCCCACCGCCTCTGAGTTTGTTCCCCAGCCCGCAGGTGCCAGAGGCCGAGGGGAGCCGTTGGAATGGAGGAGGAGACCACCGCCGGAGCCCCAGGAGACGGAGCCGCCACCCCCGAGGCCAGCCACAAGGGCCGGGCGAATCCCGCGGACCCCACGGCGATACCTCGTGGGGGCAACCCAGGCGAGGTGCTCCAGTCAACCCGGGACGGGGACTGGCACCCCGGGGGGCTATGTGGTGCCACAACGACGGGGCCGCTCTGCCGAACCAGGGAGCCGCCCGGCTTCCCCCACCGCACTGCCCCCCATCACCCGCCCCACATAAGCACACACCCGCACGCATTTCCCCCCCCCATAGAGCTGGAAGGGAAGGTCACCTGATCGACCGGTTTTATCCGAGAGACCCTTATCGGGATTAATTCTCACGGTTTCCGGCGATCAGGGAATTGGATGACCCCCCCGTGCTACGTGGCACCGCGGCGCCGCGGCCGGCCTTAATATGGTGTGGTCGCGGCGTGGGGCATTCGGCCACCGCGGTTGAGGCGCATTTTCCCCCCACACACACTCCCACGGGTCGACGGGGCAAGCAGGGGAGGCACGGGACAGCATGAATAGCGGGGTCACAGGGGCTGTTGCGCATAGTCATGGGGGGTTGGGATAATTGCGCTGGAGCGCGCAGGCCCCATTGGTAGGAAGGGTAAGGGAGTAATTAGGATGTACGCCGCCAACGTCGCTCACTGATTAGCATATCAACAGCGCCCGGGGAACCGCCGTGCACGGGCTTGGGGTGCACGAGCCCATTGTTCAGCGCAGCATCCCCTTTGAGGTAGGGAGGATAAATAGAGGAGCGGAGAGGGGAAATCGCCCCTTCTCTCCAGGCCAGCGGACCAGCAGGAGTTCCAGCCAGCGACCCGGACGTCCGTGCGACGCATCGAGGTACGCTGTTAGCGCAGAGAGCAGCGAACCTCCGCGGGCACCAAACAGTGAGTGGGGAGGTAAAGTAGGGTATCGTAGCAGATAAATCGGGAATAGGTATAGAGGTATCAGCGTAGGCCAGCCTCGTCGACTCACTGATTTGACATCAATTCGCAGGTAGCATATAATAAATCATTAATAGCGAAGCGTGGTCTCGCGTGATCTTGTCGTGCAGAGTGTCGCGTGGGGAGCTGCGTGTGTGTGCGTGCGTCCACCCCGGGTGCGATACAGGTGCGCGATCATAACGTGAGTGGAGTTGGAGTGCGCGGAGCGGCGTGTGTGTGGGAGTGCTCATACGTTCGTTACGTGTCGGATACGGATGCGCATTGGTAACGTGCCGCACAGGGCTATAGGCGGGCACACGCTCGCAGTATACGAGAGCTGTACGTAGCGGTGTAAAGAGGGGGAGTGTGGCGTTTGATTGATGATGCTGTGCGCGTGTATGCTCGCAGCGTGGGAGCGCGGCGCGAGACTGTAACAGTGGGGGCGTCGCGTTCGAATGCCGGCGAAACCGTAGCGGGTAATAGGGAGGTGGGGTAACCTAAACGGAATAGGGGATGCAGGCGAGAGGGACCCCGGGGGCCAGCGGCCCCTACAGTAGCAGGCATGGTTAATTACGTACGCGCACACCCACACACACAGCTCTGTACGGCACTCACTCTTGCGCTTCTCTGCGCCGCGCTGGCCGCTCACGTTACAATCGCGCACCTGGGGTACGCCGATTACGCACGCCGCGAGCTTACGCACACACAGTACCACACGCGTCCCCACACGCAACCCGCGCGCTCAGCTCCGCGCAGCGCTCACTCACGTGGCGAACCACTGTGCACACAGCGCCCCCACACGCTCACACTGCACGACAAGATCACGCGAGACCACGCTTCGCTATTAATGATTTATTATATGCCACCTGCGAATTGATGTTGAATCAGTGAGTCGACGAGGCTGGCCTATTCCACTAAACCTGCACCTATTCCCTATTTATCGGCTATGATTCTAATTCCCCTTCTTACTCACTGTTAAGTGTCCACGGCGGTCCGCTGATCCTTGTGTTAACCGCGTGCCTCGGTGCGTCGCACGGACGTTCGGGTCGCTGGCTCGAGCTGCGTCTGGTCGCCTGGCGCTGGAGTAAGAGAGCGATTTCCCCTCTGCGCTCCTCTATTTATCCTCCCTACCTCCAAAGGGGATGCTGCGCTGAACAATGGGCTCGTGCACCCCAAGCCCGCGCACGGCAGTCCCCAGGCGCTGTTGATATGCTAATCAGTGTGCTGCGTGCAAGGCGTAAATCCTAATTACTCCCTTACCCTTCCTAACAATGGGGCTTGCGCGCTCAAGCGCAATTATCCCAACCCTCCATGACTATGCGCAACAGCCCCTGTGACCCCGCTATTCATGCTGTCCCGTGCCTCCCCTGCTTGCCCCGTCGACTCGTGGGGGTGTGTGTGGGGGGAAATGCGCCTCAACCGCGGTGGCCGAATGCCCCACGCCGCGACCATACCATATTAAGGCCGGCAGCAGCGCCGCGGTACCCCGTAGCACGGGGGAGGTCATCCAATTCCCTGATCGCCGGAAACCGTGAGAATTAATCCCGATAAGGGTCTCTCGGATAAAAACCGGTCGATCGGGTAACCTTCCCTTCCAGCTCTATGGGGGGGGGGGGGGGGGGGATGCGTGCGGGTGTGTGCTTATGTGGGGCGGGTGATTGGGGGCAGTGCGGTGGGGGAAGCCGGGCGGCTCCCTGGCTCGGCAGAGCGGCCCCGTCGCTGTGGCACCACAGTAACGTGCCGCACAGGGCTATACTGCGAGCACGGCGTTTGATTGACGATGATGTGCGCACGTATGCTCGCAGCGTGGGAGCGCGGCGCGAGGCTGTAAATAGTAGGGGTGTCGCGTTCGAATGCCGGCGAAACCGTAGCGGGTAATAGGGAGGTGGGGTAACGTAAACGAATAGGGGATGCAGGCGGGAGGGATCTCGGGGGCTAGCGACCCCCACAATAGTAAGCATAAAAGTACTGGTAAACGCTGGGGATGTTAACACTCGGTAAAGTATAATATTGCCTGTCAAATAAGATGGTACAAATATGTGTAGTTAAATATTTTTTACATGGTTAATAACATTTTTCCAATGATTACTCATTCGTGTTACTTAGTGCAGTAAATACGTGTTACTTATTGCAGTAAAAACAACTCATCGCATGAACCATCCTGCGCTCCTAGAATATCAACTCTGTCAATGCATTAAACGTAAGATTATCTATTTTCTTTAAACATTCGACTGCGGAGTCACTTGAGTTGAATTTGAGTGGTGATGATTGTGCACCGTGCCTCGATCTTGTTCAAAGCGCGCGACCCTTCTGCAGTGCGTGACCTACTCACCTCTTGCCACGTAAAATGTTAAACTTTCTATTTAATGTCGGTTAATTTTGAGTAATTTTCTTCAGTTTGTTGTCCATCTGAAAATCCATAAATTTATTCATTTCAAAGTTCGATTAAAACGTCCAGTTAAAAGTTCGGTGACAAGGGACGATTGACATGGCGCGCAGTCCTCACCATAGCGCGAGAGGAGGAATCGCGAGCGCGCGAGGCAAAACTTAAATAGAAAATATTTTGTTGGAATTAAATATGAGTAGTCTGTTGAAGCATCTTGTCTTGCAAAAAATTCGAGTGCGTTTTAAATAGTGTTCATCAGTAACACTTTTGAAAACCGACAATCATCATATCTTGCCCTGACCGAACAATGTCTCCCAAATGTTGGTTGTTCACTTGTTTAGAATTATAATTTATATCGTGAGCATTGTCGTATATTACATAAGTAACGTACATTAAAGAAGTGATCTTCGTGATGATGTATTAACTAGATGCATGTAAGTATGAACGTTACGGGAGTAATCGAGCCCAAAGGCAGGCGTGATAAACACATTGCGGTGCACCATCTAAACTTCTCTATTAAAATTAATTTATATACGTAAATATCGCATTGTTTGCAATATCTTTCTTACTTTGGGAGAACTAGTTGGTGACGTTCACTCAACTATTGTATTATTCACTCCACGTGCAATCTTGCAACAGATGGCGTTCCTCTGGCGTTCGCTGCGGGTGTGCCAATATCATTCCAGAGTGCTTCGAAGAAGGGCCATTGCCCAAAACGTCGCATATTATACATGTCAAGGAAGTGTTATTGACGACGGTGGAGGGTTTTCTTCGTCGCAGAGGTTAAAGGTGGAAGGTTTAAGGCGGAGCCATCGCGGAGGGCAGGGGTGGTCGGTGACGTCGCCACGCTTCGGGTATAAAGGCGGCTGCTGCTGCAAGCTGAGCGCGCAGTCTCTCGCGAGGAGCTTTGTCACAAGTAGTCGCAATGTCTGGACGCGGTAAAGGCGGTAAGGGGCTCGGCAAGGGAGGCGCAAAACGCCATCGCAAGGTGCTGCGCGACAACATCCAGGGCATCACCAAGCCCGCCATCCGCCGCCTCGCTCGCCGCGGCGGTGTGAAGCGCATCTCGGGCCTCATCTACGAGGAGACCCGCGGCGTCCTGAAGGTCTTCCTTGAGAACGTCATCCGCGACGCCGTCACCTACACGGAGCACGCCAAGCGCAAGACCGTCACCGCCATGGACGTGGTCTACGCCCTCAAGCGCCAGGGCCGCACTCTCTACGGCTTCGGAGGCTGAGCGCCCATCTCTCGCACACTAAGCCAACCCAAAGGCTCTTTTCAGAGCCACCCACCTCTTCGAAACTGCTTGCGCCAGTGTTGCCAAACACGCTCTGAATGGAGCACATGTCCTGGGTTGTTGTGAGCGTGCTGGACGTTCGCTTGTTGAGTTGGCGAATCTTCATCTGCTTCCACATGAATGAATGAAATAAATCATGATATTCACGACACGTCACATTTAACAAGGCGTAATTCTTGAACGCCTTAATACAGAACCCATTTCTGGTATTTTTGCGTGAATTATTTCCAGCTGCAGCCGATTCCGATATTACGTCAAGCATTTGGCGCCACAATCTTACAGCACCCTCGTCCTAATTGACGGAGCGTGCCGGAATGCTAATCTCCACCTGTACAGCACAACAGCGAAGTTATTTTTCTCCACCGAGCGCTTGTATTTTTCCAAATTGCGTTCATAAAACGCCCGTGCGCCGTATTAGACGAGTGGTGAAACAATCCCTCGTAAGAAACAAAAAAACCCACGCTCAAAACACAATATACTGAATTGGGTTTTCTAGTCATCCTTTTTAAAGCAAAGGCAATGCCATGGCTGCAATTCACTAATACACATGTTTGGACATTACATTGTGTTATATTCTCAAGTCCTTTTTGCAGTAAAATCGATATTAAAGTCAACATCGCGTCCGCGTTTCTCATTGGAGGCTGATGGAGAGGGACGGTACTAAAAGAGCCACTCAGCAGCGCCGCGCACTACGATCCTCTGATTTGCATCTCGCCTCCTATAAAAGGAGCTCAACGCGCGAGCGACATCCACATTCGCTTCCCGTCTGTTCTGACCTGAAGCTGCTGCCTACGACGCGTCGACATGCCCGATCCTCCCGCATCAAAGAGCGCTGGGCCGGCCAAGGTTCCTGCTCCCAAGAAGGGCTCCAAGAAGGCTGTGACCAAGGCTACGCGCAAGGATGGCAAGAAGCGACGCCACCGCAGGAAGGAGAGCTACGCCATTTACATCTACAAGGTGATGAAGCAGGTGCACCCCGATACCGGCATCTCGTCCAAGGCAATGAGCATCATGAACTCGTTCGTCAACGACATCTTCGAGCGCATCGCTTCCGAGGCGTCCCGCCTGGCGCACTACAACAAGCGCTCCACCATCACTTCTCGGGAGATCCAGACCGCAGTGCGACTGCTGCTCCCCGGCGAGCTGGCCAAGCACGCCGTGTCGGAGGGCACCAAGGCCGTCACCAAGTACACAAGCTCCAAGTGAAGCCTCGACTCCACCATTAATTACAAAGGCTCTTTTCAGAGCCACCCACCTCTCCGAACCTGCTTGTACCAGTCCTAGCAGGAGTACTAAACGAAACTTCCAACAAAGCCCCGGTTCACGCGGGGACATTGTTCGCTCATTGAGTGGAATGGGAATAAAAGCGATATTCATGGCACATCATGTTCACCAGCAGGCATTTCTTGGATTTGTTTGTCCATTGATTTCATCTGCAGCCCATTCAGATATTACATTGGATATTTGGTGCCAAAACCTTGCAATGCAATATATTTAATTCGTGGTTGTATTTTCGGGCAGGAACTAACATTTTGCACGTGTACATCTATGTAAAAGTAAGCGCCTAGCATGGATGACTCGTGCAGTATAATTGATGATCATCTCAATGCCAAGAGAATAGATATCTATCCCTGTGATCACCTTTCCGACATTTTCACGTATTAACTTTGGAGCTTTCGTGACTGCAGGAATTATTCTTTGGTTCTTTCGGTAAAGTCACGTATATAAAAAAAACAAATTGGTGATATCTGTCTGCTTATATGTCAGTCTATAATTTTTTCTGGTTCGATTTTATGTCGCTATTTCATTATACCTGATGATGATTGCTTGTGTTGCAATCGAAACGTCGTATGCTATTATTTTTTCTTTATACGTGACTTTACCGAAAGAACCAAAGAATATTTTTTACGTATTACTGTTTCCAATGAAGCGCAGTTTCTGCACACTTTATTTAGATCACGCGGAGCACTGTAAAGTTGTTTTCGGAAAGGTGTTTGCTTGAGAAAATAACATCCGTAAAGGACATCGACCGCGCTCAAACGGAACTACTGCATCGTGATGCGGCATTCTGCAATGCTCCAAAGTGAGAACATTTCGTTGATGAAGAAGAGTTGACGACTCGAGATCATTGCACGCTGCCAACCAATCAGCACGCGCCCCTTCTTCGCACGTCACGACTCCGCTGACCAGTGAGCGCGCGCTCTGGGCTACATAAGCCGCCTTCTCCTCCCCGCCTGTGAGAATCTTTGCCCTCACCAAGCCATGGCTCGCACCAAGCAGACGGCTCGCAAGTCCACGGGCGGCAAGGCCCCCCGCAAGCAACTCGCCACCAAGGCGGCCCGAAAGAGCGCTCCGGCCACGGGCGGCGTCAAGAAGCCTCACCGCTACAGGCCCGGCACCGTCGCTCTGCGCGAGATCCGCCGCTACCAGAAGTCCACCGAGCTGCTCATCCGCAAACTGCCCTTCCAGCGCCTCGTCAGGGAGATCGCGCAGGACTTCAAGACCGACCTGCGCTTCCAGAGCTCCGCTGTCATGGCTCTGCAGGAGGCCAGCGAAGCGTACCTTGTCGCGCTCTTCGAGGACACCAACCTGTGCGCCATCCACGCCAAGCGCGTCACCATCATGCCCAAGGACATTCAGCTCGCCCGCCGCATTCGTGGCGAGCGCGCTTGAACGCCCAGCTCGGCCCTCAAAGCACAACACAAAGGCTCTTTTCAGAGCCACCACTTACTCGTGAGAAAGCTTCCATGTGTGTCCTTCAAAGTTCGGGTGCCGGAAACCTTCGTTTGCTGGTCACGGCTCTCACGAGTCGTCAGGCGTAAGCGACAATCAAGTTCATTTCTATACCCCGCCGCTCATTCTTCAACATCACACGTTGGTGTTGTATATAAGCGTTGTGAAACCATGTCTACATAATGTACAACAAAAGGGTTATTTTGGTGAAATGTATTTTACCTCAGAGTCGCGTGGTGGGTGTGGAGGCCTAGCACCGTGCAGAGCCTCCCGCCTCGCCTGATTTTGCCACCCGGCTGACGCTGGGTACGGGTGCCGTTTCCCCCCCCCCCCCCCCGCGCTTCAATAATACTGTGTAATCGCTATAATTTAATAATCTACCGACCCTATAATAGTAATAGCACACATTGTGGTGGGGGGGGGGGAGTAAAGAGGACGTGAAACTTAGATGAATTTACCTCAGAGTCGCGTGTTAATGCGTGCGCCTATTTTTAACGGGAATTAAAGATGGCGTCCACCCCGCAACTGCTAGCCCGTCGCTAGCCGTTGCCAGGGGCAACCGGCGTCGCTAGGCGTTGCCAGGGGCAACCGGCGTCCAATGAAAGTGCGTATGGTCCGACATCCAAAAAAAGATCTCCCGTATAGACTTAACAGACTGTAGGGGCAAGTGCTATTAGCGAGCACCTATGAAGGCCGGAACGGTACACGAGGGGGTGGGTGGCCAGCACCACGCCCGACCGCCTTTGTCTCCCTAGCGGCGATGTTTACACACCGCACCAGGTACTCATTTGAGGCTGAGTCGACCTAGGGGAGGCCCAGGACCGGTTCAAATAATCGTCACTGGTGTTTGCCGTGAGCGGGAATTGAACCCGGGTCGCCAGGTTCATAGTGCAGCGCGCTAACCACTACACTACCGCTCCCCACGGTCCGACATCCACACACAGACAGACAGACATTCACGATTTTATATATATAGATTAAACCCAAAGATTTTGGTTTATGCTGTTTCAAGCCCGAGCTGATAAGAAGTTCACATTTTGCAAACTGAGACTGAATTATTCACGCACATATATTTTTAGGCATTGCCCGAACAGGCGGTTAAAGAAAAATATCTATACACCGTATAGGCACGTGGGCGATCAATCACGAGCTCAAGGCTATCACAATGATTTCTTATAACCAATGCAGTCCCTCAAAATGATGATTATAATCAATAATACATTGATATTTGCGGAATCCGCTTATAAGTTTGACTTGCCAGCACGTGCCCATAAATTAACTCTATCATGCTTAAAACTTGAAGCTATTAAGTACGTGTATCGCATTGTTTAATTCATAAGATGCGTGTCCGCATTAAAACATATATGGATACAAATAATGAAAGTCAACATCGAATCCTCGCGTCCCGGCTTGTCATTGGTGGCTCAAGGAGAGGGCGGGACTCGACCGAGAGGAGCCAATCAGCAGCGGCGCGCTCTACGATCCTCGTCTCCGCTATAAAAGCCGCTCCCGTGGTGCGTGTTAACGTCACAAATCGTTCGTACTTTGTCTCCAGTGCTTTTTGCATCCTAGGTCCCTTAACGATGTCTGGACGCGGCAAGACCGGTGGCAAATCTCGCGCCAAGGCAAAGTCCCGCTCTTCCCGCGCCGGCCTGCAGTTCCCCGTGGGTCGCGTTCACAGGCTGCTCCGCAAGGGCAATTACGCCCAGCGGGTCGGCGCTGGAGCACCCGTCTACCTGGCCGCCGTGCTCGAGTACCTTTCTGCCGAGATCCTCGAGCTGGCTGGCAATGCCGCCCGCGACAACAAGAAGACGAGGATCATCCCCCGACACCTGCAGCTCGCCGTGCGAAACGACGAGGAGCTCAACAAGCTCATGGGCGGCGTGACTATCGCCCAGGGCGGTGTGCTGCCCAACATCCAGGCCGTGCTGCTGCCCAAGAAGACCTCTCAGGCAAAGAAGTGAACGCGCCGCCGCCTCTACCACCACAACAACGGCTCTTTTCAGAGCCACCCACTTGCTTGCAAAGAGCTCGGACAGTCGTGCACAGGGGTTTTGTTATTAATAAGGACACCGTCGTCGAGTTGCCCTCGTCCCAAATTGCACGCAATTAAACGAATGCTCTGCTCATTCCAGATACCCGTTATGTCTAATTTAGGAACGGTATTTGAGCAGCATTCCAACATTGCATCAATCATGGAACATGGTTTAGAATAAATTGGGATGCCTATTGGAAGAAAATATCGTGTTTTTTTAAAGAATAAAACTCGCTCTTTTTGAGCGGTCAGATTACATATGAAGGAGTCGGAGAATGGTTCAAGCACTTTAAGGGATCTGCGAGCCACCCTCACGAACCACGCAAACACGACATCTCCGCTCTCACGACAACACGCACCAATCAATCTTAATTTTTTTTCACACACGCTAATATCGTAATATCGTCACGTGGTTAAATCGTTAAACACAACGCTCGCGTGACGTCACCACCTCAGTGTCGAGCCGTCGACACTTCACGCGGCAGCCTCGAAGTGCACCCAGCCTGGCACAGGCGCCGTGGTGACGTCACCGTCACTCAGTGGCCAATGGCGGCGATTGGTGGTGGGGGGGAGTGGGGGGGTGGGGGGAGTGGGGGGTGGGGGGGAGGAGGGGGGGGAGTGGCGGTAGGGGGAGTGGGAGGAGGGGGGAATGGAGGGTGGGAGGGGGAGGGGGGAGTGGGGGTGGGGGCGGAATGGCGGTTGGGGAAGTGGGGGTTGGGGGATGGGGGGGAGTGGAGGATGGGGGATGGAGGGTGGGGGGGAGATGGAGGGTGGGGGGGGGGAATTGAGGGTGGGGAGGGAGTGGGTGGAGGGTGAGAATGGAGGGAGGGGTGGGGGGGGCGAGACGCGTGACGTCACCACGCAGTGACGTCATCAGAGTTTTTAAGTTTTAAATTTTTATTCTGGAGGAGGAATCCGATGAGCTGTGCACGTGGTCAGAACGCCACAACAACAAACACAATACAATAAACACCGTAGCAGTGCAGAGTAGAGGAATGGTAGGCACATGACCAAAACACATCTGTAGGGGCGTGTGAATTGAACTCTGTAGGGTCTTTCTTGATTTGAAGCTTTCGTAACTGCAGGAATCTATACCTCGCCCGAGGTGAATTAAACTAACGTGGGGTTCTGTGACCTCTGCCTAAGGTAAAGTTACTTCACCTGAAGTCATTTTACTTCACCTAAGGTAATCTTACCTCGCATGAGGTAAAGTTACCTCATTTGAGACAATGTTACCTTACCTGAGATAATTGTACCTCTGCCTAAGGTAAAGTTACCTCACCTGAGGTAAAGTTATCATACCTGGAGAAATGTTATCTCTACCTGAGGTGAAGTTACTTCACCTCAGAAAAGTTACCTCCCCTGAGGTAAAGTTACCTCACCTGAGGTAAAGTTACCTTCCCTGAGGTAAAGTTACCTCTACCTGAGGTGAAGTTACCTCGCCTGAGGTGAAGTTACCTCATCTGAGGAAATGTTATCTTAGGTGAGGTAAAGTTTCCTCACCTGAGGTAAAGTTACCTCATCTGAGGTAAAGTTTCCTCACCTGAGGTAAAGTTACCTCTACCTGAA